GAAAGAAATTAGACTGAAATTCATTGATAACCCATTATGAGAAAGGCATTTTACATAAATTGCTTCATTTAATCAATACAACGATGCCATTATGTAATAACTACTATTTCCCATATGACAGAGCTAGGAAGTAACATACATGGGATTATCTGACTCCAAAACAAAAACTCTGCCAAATGCACCAAGCTACCCCTCCTAGAAGCCTTTTTATAACTTAAATCATGACCAATTGAAGATTGAGTCAGTGACAATGTGTATATTGCATAAGGCATTGCTTAAGATGTCACCTCCTATAGGAAGGCATGGCTTAATATTAACATTAGATACCAGAAAGTAATATAATATTGGTAAATGATTGGGACCCTATATAACTTCACCCTTACTAACTCAAAACCCTTTCATTATTAATTATTCTTTCCTCAGGATAAAGCATTTAGATGTGGAGCATGGGAACAATGGAAGAATTAAAGATGGCTTCTGTGTTTCTGGCTTGGTTAACTGAGGGCATGGTTGTCTCAATCACTGTGATAAGGAGCTTGGAAAGAGAAGACATTTTAGGTTTTGAGCATGTTGTGCTTGAAATGCTTCTGAGACATCTCAGTATAAATGTCCAATAGGAAGTTGGTTATATGAGACTGGGGCACAAGAGATATACTCATCCACATATAGATAATAATTGAAGCTCTGGAACTAGGTGAGATTTTTGATGGCGTATTAATGAAGTCAGGAAGGATGGTAGTAAGGGAAACACCAACATTTAAGGCAGCGGTTCTCAACCTGTGGGTCGTGACCATTGGAAAACACATATAGCATATCAGATATTTACATAACGATTCATAACAGTAGCAAACTTACAGTTATGAAGTAGCAACAGAAATAATTTTATGGTTGGGGGTCACCACAACAATGAGGAACTGTATTAAAGGGGCGCGGCATTAGGAAGGTTGAGAACCACTGAAGGGATGGTTAAAGAAAGAGTAGGTAGGAACCTGGTTTTTTAAAAAATGAACATTAAAAACAAAGAGGCAGTGGACCAAATGAGAGATGACATTTGTAAACAGTAGCTCCTACAAAGGTTTAATTTCCAAAATATATAAAGAACTCACAAAACTCAACACCAAACAAACATCCCAATCGAAAAATGGGCAGAGGACCTGAACAGGAACCTCTCCCAAGAAGACATACAAACAGACAATAAATATATGAAAAAATGTTCAACCTCACTAGCAATTACAGAAATGCAAATCAAAGAGGGCCTGATAAAGATGTGGTATATATACACAATGGAGTACGACACAGCCATAAGAAAAGATGAAATAGCATCATTTACAACAACATGGATGGACCTTAAGAACATTATGCGAAGTGAAATAAGTCAGACAGAAAAAGGTAAGAACTATATGATTTAACTCATATGTGGAATATAAAACTGAAATTTATGAACACAAATAGCATGTGGTGGTTGCCAGAGGGAGGGGGGTGGAGGGAAAAAGGGGGTCCTAATATGAAGTGACAGGAGAAGACTGGACTTTGGGTGGTGGGCACATGGTCCTATATACAGATTTTGTAAATTAGTAATCCACATATGAAACCTATATGTTCCTGTTGACTAATGTCACCCCAATAAAATTTTTAAAAAAGAAAAGGAAAAAATGCAAATCAAAACTATAATGAGATACCACCTCACACTGTCAAGTGGCTATTATCAACAAGATAAGTAATAACAAGTGTTGGAGAGGTTGTGGAGAAAAGGGAACCCTCATTCACTGCTGGTGGGAATGTAGACTGGTACAATCACTATGGCAAACAGTCTGGCTATTCCTCAAAAAATTAAGAATACAGCCCAGCAATCCTCTCCTGGGTATATAACTGAAAAACTCAAAAACATGTATTCACAAAGATATGTGCACCCCGGTGACAGGAGAAGATTTGACTTTGGATGGTGGGTACACTGTGAAATATACAGATCTTGTAACATAGAAACCCACACCTGAAACCTGTATGATCATATTAACCAATGTCATCCCAATAAATTTAATTTAAAAAATGAAAAAATGACATTTAAAAAATGAACAGAGAGGTAAGAAAAGAACAAGTAAATGGATATCTTGAAAGCAAGAAAGGAGAGTTTAACAAAGGTGGGCATACTCCATAGCAACAAAATTAAAGGCAATGTATAAATTGTATATGATGAAGATTGAAAATAATCCATTGATTTTGGCAGTTAGGAAGTAATATGCAGCTTTGACAGAGTAGTTTCAGTGGAGTTCTGAGAGTCAAATTCAGACTGCAATGGGTAAAAAGCAAAACGGTAGATGAAGAAGTAGAGACAGTGATTATAGAATTTCCTTTTGAAAGACTGAGTATCAGCAAAAGAAAGAAGATAGGGTAGTAGCTAGAGGGGAAGTATTAATTGTGGAAGGAAGGATGCTTTAAATTCTTTTTTCAAATAAAAACAGTTAACATGTTGAAACCTAGGCATGTGTATAGAAAACAAGCTAATAGACATTAAGTATAATTTTCAGTAGTACAGAGCAAAGATGCAGCAGCCATACGGAAAGCTACAGAGGCAGATGTTTTGTGGCAGTAGAATGACTATGTTCTAAAATGCCCTTACCTTCCTTCTGTTTATGCCACTCAACTTACCTGGAGTGCCCTTTTCCTTTGGATGGTTTGTCTGTCAAATTCTACCCACCCTTGAGTGCAAATTTCACCTCCTCTATGAGGTCTTACACTATCAATCTCTTCTGAAGGGCCTCTCTTTCTCTTGAACTCTAATAACAATATCTGTTTGAACAATCCATTTGACAATCACCCTTCACTCTGTGAAATCTCCTTAATTGCTTTCTTCAAAATTGTGTTGCTAATCAATCACATGTGAATTCTTTCTACCCTGCTAAACTGTACACTCCTCAAGGGCAGGGTTTCTATCTTAGAGTTTGCCACAGCCTCCAGAATGCCTACCATGGAAGGTAGTAGGGTCTCTTTAAACCTACGTGATTGAGCAGTGGCAGCTTGTTATGAAGAAGACAGAAAAACGCTGGGTTAGGTAGGTCCTTGGTGTGCATTGAGTCATTTTGTTCTCTCAATAGCAAATAAGGAGACAGAAACTTGCAGAAGTAAAGTGAATTTATCCAAAAGACAGAGGTAGTAGTATGTGACAGTGCCAGGATTTGAACCAAAGGCCTTTCTCCTGATAGTTTTCTTCAGTTGTGTACAAAATTCTGTTCGTGAGAAACACCTCTTTCCTTAGTGATATTGATAGAGATATGACTCTATTGAGGCTTTACTACCAACCAAGTGGTTTTGGCAGCCCTTGCACTGTGCAGGAAATTTCCCTGTACCTTACCTCCTGACAATCAGCTTGAGGATCCTGAAGGAGCCTTTGATGAGGATGAGGGCCTCTTGGCGGGAGCCATACAATGGAGTGCCATTGATATTCACCAGCTCATCACCAGTCCTCATCTTCTGGGACAAGGCTGCCTTGCCGCCATCTTCAATCTGTGTTGCAGAGAACAAGATAGAAAGCAGGTAGTGAGGCAATCCTTCCCCAAAAATTCTACTTTCTGGCTCCTCCCAACCTCTGAGCCATAAGTAGTACTGCAGTGGGACATGGCAGGGCTGGGGCTGGCAGTGAGGTGGGTGAGGAATGGCTCCAGGAAGCTCCAGGCAGCAGCAAAGAATCTGATCATAGACCATTATTTACTGAAGGCAAAGCTTGGGCAAGCCTTTGAGGAAGGAGGCAACACAGTAATACAATCTATCCATCTAGGAAGACAAGCACTTCTAAATATGAAAATGATGCTTGGAAGGAACCCCACAATATGGGCTGAAGTAGCAGAATGGCATAGAAAAATGTGCATGTAAAATAGAGTCTGGCTGGGACCGGTTTGGCTCAGTGGATAGAGTATCGGCCTGCGGACTGGGGGGTCCCAGGTTCGATTCCGGTCAAGGGCATGTACCTTGGTTGCAGGCACATCCCGGGTGGGGGGTGTGCAGGAGGCAGCTGATCGATGTTTCTCTCTCATCGATGTTTCTAACTCTCTATCTCTCTCCCGTCCTCTCTGTAAAAAATCAATAAAATATATTTGAAAAAAAATAGAGTCCGAAGAGCTAGACTCCAGAAAAATCACCTCTGGCAAGTCCTTTCCTATATTTGGGCAGACTTTGAACTCTGACAAACTTGAGTTTGGATCTTGGGTCTAGTACTTCCTAGCTGTGTAACCCTGAGCAAGTTACCTAATATCTCTGTGTCTTAAGGGCCTCATAAGTGAAATATAGATAATGAGAGTACCTACCTCACAGGGTTGTTAGTATATAAAGTGTCTGGGAGCAGTAAGCCCTCAATAAATGTGAGAGTTCTGATTATTATAGCAAGGGGACTGACTCTGAAGGTAGCTTCTAGCTCAGTGATGGCAAACCTTTTGAGCTCGGCGTGTCAGCATTTTGAAAAACCCTAACTTAACTCTGGTGCCGTGTCACATATAGAAATTTTTTGATATTTGCAACCATAGTAAAACAAAGACTTATATTTTTGATATTTATTTTATATATTTAAATGCCATTTAACAGAGAAAAATCAACCAAAAAAATGAGTTTGCGTGTCACCTCTGACACGCATGTCATAGGTTCGCCATCACTGTCTAGCTCAATATTCTGTGAGTGGAATTGCAAATTCAAAAGATACAAAGTATGCACAAAGTAATTGATCATTTATCTGTGTCTCTTCAACAAGTCCCCAGCACAGTGCTTTCAGTGTCTGGCACATAGGGGGCATTTACCAAAAGCTTGGAACCTGGGTGTTCACTGTTCCACCATAGCCTAGAGAATTTCCTTGAGAAGGCCAGTCTTGGCAAGAAGGGGGGCATTGAAAGCAAAGTCATAAATAATAGCCACTAGGGTAGACAAAGGAAAATCAAAGCAGAATGTCCCCCAAGTGTCCTTGCTTATAGCTACTTTCATGCTATATAATAAAAGCCTAATATGCTGTCTGGTGGTCAGATTGGCCATTCAACCAATCAAAGCGTAATATGCTAATGATATACTAAAGCTGCTCAACTGCTCACTATTATGTGTACAGTTGGGTGGCTTACCATCTAAAGTTCATATATCCACACAAATGGTTGAGTAACAAAAGGTCCAATCAGAAAGAGGTGTTTGTTTTTTCCCAAGGGCAAGTTGAGGTGAGGGTGATTAAACCACACAATCCTTAGGGAAAATTAGATTCTAAGTGGGACAACTATGGGCTGGTCTTTGCTGCAGGTGTTTTTACACTTACTTCTACTCTTGTTCCAATCTTTCTCTCAGTTTTTAATAGCATCCAATCTATCCCACACCATGGAAGATAGAATATTACTGAGCTTTAGGTTGGCCAGCTCATGTGCAATTTGGCAGATGCAACCTCCTTAGTGCAGAGAAAAATGTTAATTCAAGATTTCAAAAACCCCATCTAATAAATTGAAATTTTAAGTTAAATCACAGACTGTAATTAAATTTACTGCTGCTAACCCAACAGTTTTTAAATTAATCTTTGTTTGATAAATTATAGGTTAGCTAAGTGACTTTGAATATATATACCTTTGTTCCAGTACCTGGGCCACCACTCAAAACAAGCCAATATTGGTAAATGGGGTACAACTCTCAGCAGATTAATTAGGATTGCACTCTTATTTCCATTGTCATTATCATTATTACATCACAGGCACTGCTGCCTGCTGCCAAAAATAAAAATAAAAAAATGCTATACTTGAATTTCAGGAGTTCTATTTGAATGACTCACTCCTCTGGCATCCATGGAAGGTCCTCAGCATCAGGCAGGAATTTCAACAGGGACCAGCCATTTGAAAGGGCTTCCTTAGGCTAACAAACAACCACAAACAGGAATCTAACTAATGACTGCTAATAGATATTTCCTGTTGATGTGCATTAGTCTTAATTCACTCTACTCATTTTTTTATTCATACAACTCAATTATCCATATTACTGTTAGCCACAGCAAGTCTTCCCTTCAATATGTATTGATATTAAATACCACTTTGAGTTAATTAAGCACTTTGTTACATCAGCAAGATCTCTGTTTATTCTAGGCCAGAAAAATGAAAGAGGGGTACTTTTTAAACTCTTATGCTTAGTTATTGCTGTAGCAAAAGTTCAGGCATTTTGCATTCCCTACTGCCACTTCAGCTGCCATTATCTGGGTCCTTGCTGGAACTCTTGTTCAGACTATAGCCTCAGGCTGACTACGTGCCCCTTTTGTGTGTGTGTGTGTGTGTGTGTGTGTGTGTGTGTGTGTGTGTGTGTGTAGGAAACTTGTTTTTATTTTTTTTTCTTTTTTTTTTCAAATTTTATTTTTTATTACAAAGGGTATTACATATGTGTCCATTTTGCCATTCCATGCCCTTTCTCAGTCACCAGCAGTATCCTCCTCAGGACAGACAATGCCACTTTAGCACAAGTGTGAGGATTTGCAAACAACAAAACAACCAATTATTGGGACCCAGCACAATCTCAGAATCCAGACTGATCCAGAGCAGGGTATGAAACTCTCTTTGGTTGAAGATCTCTTGGACTATACACAAAACTAGTCCTTTCCCAGACACGGGGCATTTACTGAGCTATACAACTGATTCTTTCATACTCCTGATTTTTTGATGCTTTTAAAAAACTATTGTTCACTAGTCTTTCTCCTCCCCTGCTTCCACATAGATTTCTGGGATACAGCATGTCTTTCATTTATTGTTTTGCCTCCTGAGAGCCAGTTCTCCAGGTCAATGGCTCAACCACACATTTGTTTATATAGAAGATAAAACAGCTGTTCATTTTTCTATCAAGAGAGAGAGAGAGAGAGAGAGAGAGAGAGAGAGAGAAAGAGAAAGGGAAGGGAAGGAAAGGAAAGGAAAGGAAAGGAAAGGAAAGGAAAGGAAGGAAAGGATGGAGGAAGGCAGAGAATAAGGGGAAAGATATATTCAGGGTGGGGCAAAGGTAGATATACAGTTGTATTATTATTTATTAATTATTATATTCTTTTCCATATGAATAAATGTAAATCTACTTTTGCCTCACCTTGTATATTCTTCTCTGAAAAGTTTTGTTTTCCCCTTCTAACCATCTCACTCATAATTCTGTCTGGGCAACAGGAAAGGTGTGAATCAACAAACTTGTTGAGAGTAACATGCCCTGTTTGAGGGGCTGTATAGCATCATTTTATGCTGTCCATACAGTAAGGTTGGTCAACTTTCCAGCTTTTCCTGATTCAGAACTTCAGAATGACTTTCTTGTTTCATTTGAAATGCTGTGAATTCTCAGATTGGAGCCAGATGTATTGAAATGTCAGTATAAACAGACATCACAAAGCCCATTGTAAGCCATGGTTAACTTCTGTGTTATTTTGGATTGTGCAAGTGATCATAGTGAGTGGCCCAAGTAATTGAACATTGATTGCATAAAGGTCATATAACCAAAAGCCAGCTGGTGTCTAGAAAGTTTGGAAGAGCTGGTTGACCTTGGGCAGATCCCTTTCCACTTTTTTGGCCTCTTTTACCCTTACTGGTAAAATGTGGGCATCTGGCTAGATGATCTGTGGGGGCCCTTGGAGCGCTGACATTCAGTGACCTGTAAACAGTTAGCATGCCATAGCCTTCTGCTGACTCAGAAAATCCCAGATTTTTGCATCATTGCACTTTGCCTTCATCCATGTTTCACTTCTTCAAAATAGACTAATTAATAGTCATCTCTCATTTTCCTTCATTCTTTATTGTTTCAGAGTGGTCCATCAAAGTTGGAACACTTAAAAAGCACAGTTGGGACACCGAAAGAGATTCCCGAAGCCCCATTTTGTGCTAATGAGCTGATGACTTGGAAATTTTTGATGGGTCTTCAAGGTACTATGAAATGCTCTGATAGCTGGCAACAAAGTGACAAGTTGGCCCCTTGAGAGTAAAGGCAAGAAAAAATTGACTTAACAGCACTTACTAGCTTTCTAGTAGCTTTTATTTATTTATTTTAAATATTTTATTGAATTTTTACAGAGAGGAAGGGAGAGGGATAGAGAGTTAGAAACATCAATGAGAGAGAAACATTGATCAGCTGTCTCCTGCACACCTCCTACTGTGGATGTGCCTGCAACCAAGGTACATGCCCTTGACTGGAATCGAACCTGGGACCTTTCAGTCCGCAGGCTGACGCTCTATCCACTGAGTCAAACCAGTTAGGACTAGTAGCTTTTATTTAGTCAGATAATAGCAGATACTTGCTTGGATCTTTTGAATAAATTTATAAGATATAAGAAAGTGAAGAAAAAAGTTAAATCTGATTTATCTTGAAAAATGCTGCCAGCAAAAGAAATAGCATCTGCAATGATAACCAAATGGTATTGAATGCTTATAACAATGGTGTAAGAGCAGCATTAAAAAATCAATGACATGACTGCAAATACCTCTACTTGACACAAGAAATTTATTGGAAAATCAGGCATTGACTAAAACTTTCTTGGCCAGTTCTAG